TACAACAGATTTTTTACATACATGCATAGCTTATTTTATGTGGAAGCTGTAAGGAAAACAAGACAGATCCCAGTCAGAGATGAGGTAGAAAAAAGGCGGTGGCGATGGATTGGACATACTCTCAGGAAGTCAGGCAGCTGCATAACAAAGAAAGTTTCGGATTGGAACCCACAGGGTAAGAGATCAAGTGGAAGACTGCGTGGAACCAGGAGAAGAATCGCAGAAATCGATATACAGAAAAGTGGGAAGACATGGAATAACATCAAGAGACTAGCCCAGGATAGAGAAAGGTGGAAAGAGTTTGTCCGTGGCCTATACCCTGGTGCAGGGTGAGAAAGGCAATGATGATCGCTTATTTTCCTTCTAGGATGTCCTTTCCCTCTCCTTTCAGACTGACATTTGCCATCTGCTAATTATTTATACTGTATTGTGCCTTGAGGGAATTTATTCAAATGCAGTTACTTATGTTTTCCTGCTTGTTTTTTAATTTTAGTAGATTTCAGCAAAAGAACAAGTGATGTGGTGCTCGCTCAATAACAGAATAGTGAAGGACCCAGCTCGCAACTGCATAAGGTCATATGAGCGCCAAGGGGTGGATGTCAACAGAGAAGTCCTTACAGGGAATCAGACTTACTCTGCTCACCTCAGCCCATTTACAATTACAATTCTACTGTGCTTAAGAACTCGAGATGTTAATGTCTCTCCCCCCCCCCCCCCCCCTTTTGGGTATGGCCTAAAGACACTTCAGTCAGTAGCACCGTATCCCATTATTAATGATATGGTCAGCTTATTTCTGGAAGCTCTACAAAAGGTGCCTAGGAGCAATTTCAACAGTTTTAACGGGCTCTTCCATGATCTTCGAAGTCGTTTTGTGCGTTGAAAAGTTTTGAAGCCAGTGTGCTTGGTTAGAGCACAACACTATTGTTTTAGATCCATTCTAGTAGCTGTTGAAACATTGTTTTGTTATTCTTTGTACACTTTCAAGTTGTTCATGTGTCAGTTATGTGATAGCTTCAGAAGACATCTTAAGCATTTTCTGTTCCTACAGGCCTATCCTTCTTAAGCTTTTAGCGTTATTTTAATTATAGGTGTTCTGTGCATACGTCTGTATGAAAATAGTCTGTGTGTGTGTGTGTGAGTGTGTGTGTGCATAAATATAATATATTTCATGAGAAGAAAGGAAGTAGTACGAAAGGTTTTGAAAATGGGTTTTCGAATGTAAAGCGTATTGAGCTACTTTTTTGGAAAAGGGGTATATAAATGTTATATATTATTTTTATTATTATCTTGTTGTGTCTTCCTCTTTCAGCTCGACCCTCAGCTGTACATGAAGGTGCAGGAAGCTTTTTGCCCCGACTGGTTCCAGGCGTTGAGCGACGGAGACACCGACAAGACGTGCGGCAAAAAGAGACTGTTGAAGGCTGTTGATCGCACTCTGGATTTCCTGGACGACATTGTGGAGATGAAGAACGAGAGTGAGGTAGGAACATCGTGGAGGTGAAGAAAAAGTTTTGTTTTTGTAAGTGTTTTACGGCGTTCACAACTGCATAAGGTCATATGAGCATGCGGGACACATTAAACTTTTTCAGTTGGTAGGAAATTTTTTATTTTCCCCGGGTGGCGACCACAGCTTACTCTTAGACCTCCAAGGGATCTTTAACTTTCGCAACTTGCACACGGGCCCTCTGAGATTTTTCGCCCTTGTCCGAGAAGGCTAGGTGTAGATCTTTCCTACCAGAAGATCAGGGGTGTGGCTGAAAGACAGCAGTAAGAAGAAGCCAAGGAGTAGCAGTAGAAAGGCTGCAGAAAGAATCAGGAGCCCAGAGGAGGAGGGCAAAAGAGGTGAGGGAGTGGGGGCAGGAAGAGGAGACGAAAGCAGATGACAGAACATTGCTAGAGAGCAGGAAAGGAGGTGAAAGGAGACAAATTTAGAGAAGAAAATTTTTCCCTCTCTACCCGGGTTCGAACCTTGGACCTTTGAATGAGAGGCCAACACCTTAACCTCTAGGCCACGAGAGCCCCCTGAAGAACAAGAGTGAGGTAGGAACATTGTGGAGATGAAGAACAAGAATGAGGTAGGAACATTGTGGAGATGAAGAACAAGAATGAGGTAGGAGTGAGGCGAAATCATTTAGGGGAAAATATATACTTGATGAAACTTTGAGACGATCTATTCTTTGAGTGGATGGTTGGCGGGTGCTCTCAGGTGGTTTGCTTCATCTTTCATATAAAACATCTATCGCCCATACCTCCCCTTTTTCTTTTCTATGTTTTTTACTCTCTTGTAACACCTCTAATCTTCTGATGCTCATATGCCTTTATGCAGTTGCAAGCGCCGTAAAACCTCTACTTAAAAATACCCCCGTAAACTTGATGAATCTTTGAGATAATATCTATTCTTTGTGTCTGACAGCATAATACTTCAGCATGACTGTTTTGTTGTTGTTGTTGTTGACGGTGGTGGTAGTTTTTGTTTTTTTACTCATTCCCTTTTGTAAGCAACAAAATGCGGCTTGTGTGACTGGTGTTTTGATGCCATGAGTTATAAAAAAGTGTTTTTCTTTTCTTTTCCATTTGAGTGTATTCTTACTTTGTCAGACTAATATATGTCTTGATTACATTTTTAAATTATTTCTTTGACTCTCTGAAGAATTTAATTTACCTGCATTTTGAAATATATCGCATATGTATAACCAGAAGAAAATATATTTTTTCTGATCACAGGCAAAAAGGGAGAAAAAATAGTGGCAGCCAACGCGGCTTGGTCATGGTGAAGAAAGTGGTGTCATAGGGAAAGAGTTAAAGGTGAACGTGTTGCTTCAATGGCTGCTTTTTTCCTTTCCAGGTGTTGAAGACGTCGAGCCTCATCGGGGCCATTGAGGGAGGCTACAGTGTGGAGGAGAGGAGACGGTCGGCCAAGGAAACGGCTGCAAGACCAGTGGATGGTAGGACAGGGAGAAAAAGTGATCCGAGATATGAGGGTTGTGGTTATGTTATTGTCTAAGACGGCCCACACATTGTTGAGGAGAAAAGTGGCTATCTCACACAGTGCTTTTATAATGTTTAAAAAAACCTACAAACAGCGAAATGGGAATTGGCAGTTTGAACGGGTGATTGTCTTATGCAGGACATTGATAGAGCAGGTTCATATGGAGTAACATTTCGTGACATATTCATTTCTTACAGAACTAAGCCAAATATATAAGATAAGATAATACTTTATTATCCCAGAGCGAAATTTTTCTTGGCTCTACAGGACCATAAAAACACATGCTGGTATACATTACACATTTAAATTATATATTACTCTCATTAAATTTCAACATGAAAAGAGAAGTAAAGCTGACAAAATGTACATATCACATCAGATGCATCATTCAACCACATGCAGGACTTTAATTACAAGACATTTGGAGTTATATAGATACATACTCGAAAGAGCAATACACATCTATGCTTATTCTGACAATAGCCTTATGCTATAAAAGAGCTTTGATAACCTCTCAAACAACTATAATTCAAGAATGCTCTTTTTGGGATTTGAACCATCATCTTCAGCAGTATAGTTCAGCACGCAAGATGCTGTATGAGCTGATGGCGCACCTCCCTTATCTTCTGACAGGTTTCCTCATAGAAGGATTTGAAAAAGGACATTCCAGTGTGGACCTATTTGCGGATGAGGAATTCATGACGGTTCTAACAGAGACAATGGTGAGTTCTCAAACATTTTTTCTGGGTATGAATCTGCAAGTTGTGTATGCATTTCAAAGTTGTCTTTTTCATCAGTTGCAAACTCTAAAACGGGTTTTGTTTTAATTTCGTGGGTGGTTGGCGGGTGCTCTGGTGTGGTTTGCTCCTTCTTTCCTATCAAACATCTATCGTCTTTATCTCTCCTCCTTTTTTGTGTTTTATACTCCCTTTTAACATCTCTAATCTTCGGCACTTATCTGACCTTATTGTGTTGCAAGTTCCGTAAAACCCTTACTAAAACTAAACATTGTTTTAATTTATAGTATGTTATCAGGGATGGGCGTCTGTGATGTTAGTCGAGGTGGACTGTAAATATGTTGTTTTGCTCTGACGTGTCATTAGTGTCTTGAAAATGACCATCAAGACACCACTGACGGACATTCGCCAGGAATCCTAAGAGTAAGTCTGATAATAAGTCTGATTCCCTGTATGGGCTTCTCTGTTGACATCCACTCCTTAGCGCTCATATGACCTTATGCAGTTGCGAGCACTGTAAAACCTCTACTAAAACAAAAGCAGGAATCCTAAATGGTGTTGTATTTTAAGTACGTTATAATAATAATAATAAATAGCATTTGTATAGCACATGTCCCCAATCGAAAACAAGATCTATATATATGCGCTTTCATGAAAAATGTTCAACACCTAGAAAAAACTTCTACTAACTGAAATGAAGAGAAAAAGCCTCAAAGTTAGCTCACAGTGTCACAGTGCTTTTATACTGTTTACAGTGTCTACTGACTCACTGACTCGTGGGTTTGTTTGTTTTTGGGGTTTATTTTTGTTTTGTTTTGGTTTTTAGTTGTTTTTTTAATGACATACAGATCAACCTCAGCAATGGTTTTAATATTTTAAAAAAAAGAGATGATCCATTTCTTCCAATTACTTGAGTTTTATCGAGAGAGCATGACTCCATGGATAGGGTGTGGACTAACAAATTACTTGAAAATGAACCTTTTTATCGAGGATTTGTTTATTTTTTCATGGATTGAAGGGTGGTTGGCGGGTGTTCTGGTGTGGCTTGCTCCTTCTTTCCTACCAAATATCTATCATCCTGGTTTCCTCTCCTTCTGTTTTGTGTTTAATTCTCCCTTGTAACACCTCTAATCTTCGGCGCTTATATGACCTTATGCAGTTGAGAGTGCCGTAAAACCTCTACCAAAACTTTTTTTAAAAACTCTTACTAAAACTAAATTAAACTAATGCATTGATTATTGTTGATTGTTTTTTCAGGTTCATCTTCCCGATGATAAGCCTCGGATGATGGACGCGGTGTGGTCTCCCTTACAAGTCATCAGAGCTTTCAGGCTGGGCATTGATGTGTTCTCCAGTGCATATCCTTGTCACATATGTATGTGCTACAAAGTTTTGTGGCCATGACTGGTGAACAGCTTAGTGTACGTCTCCAGCATATGCCATTTTGAAAAGTGGCGTCTTATGACAGATTCTCACATCACCGTCATTCTCCTCCTTCACCCTGGTGTTGTGTATAGGCCGCGAAGAAGGGCTGTCCACCTGTCTCTGTTGTGGGCAATCCAACAATGCCACGCTCATAACTGTGCCTGAACTACAACAGGGAACTGCTGCTTTTTCTTTCCTAATCCTTACTATTGTCATTTTCCTCTACTTCTTTTGTATGTTTGTCACACTATTGTGACCCGTTATTTGCGGGGTGCCTTGATAGTCGAAGCAGACTTTGTGCTGTTAAAACTAGAAAGGTGAGCAGAGTAAGTCTGATTCCCTGTAAGGACTTCTCTGTGGACATCCACCCCTTGGCGCTCATATGACCTTTTACAGTTGCGAGCGCTGTAACACCTCTATTAAAACAAACAAGCCAGCTGTCGTCTTGTGTCTGAGGTCTGTTGTCTCATATGTGTCACGACGCGATAGATTCAGACGCCCGTCAATTTTTAGGCGTGTTGAGTCACTGGTATCAACTGAAAGCTTATCCCACGGCGTCACTTTTCGCCCGATTCTGTTACTTTTAGTTCGCGTGACTCAGCAGCCCGCCGGAGCTCCCCGGCTCGGGGTCACGGGGTTAATGAGCCCTGAGGCGACTTTGACAGTGTCGGTCGGGAAGTTCGCATTTTTGACTATGTTTAAAACGATATAACTTCTTCCCCATCCCACACAGCGAACCATTACGCGAATGTACTAAAAGCTCAATGTCTTGAGATTTATTCTGCCCTTAGAATGGTTAGTTTCTGTGCCTTAGTTTTTGTTCTAGACAAGTGTTTGTAGAGTACCCAATTTGTCCTATTTTAGTTACAAAGTTATGAATAAATGATTGTTATTTTTAAAAAGGCACGACAGATCTCTCCAAATTCTGTGTTAAACTGACTGTGAATATCATGTCTTTTACCATGAGAAATCTTAAATCTGCGGTAGTAGTAATAGTCAAGTTATAAGAGAAGAAAGATGCACATCTGCATATTTTAACTAAAGACGATCAACGTTAGCTCTTATTTTACTATTAAACAAGAGAAAGTTACCCTGCGTTTGTTCATGAATCTTGCTGTGTCTGTGGCAGACTGCATACAACTAAAAAGATATAATATAAGCGATTTAAAAAACCACAAAACCGTGTAAATACATGGGTAGAGATAAACTTCTAGTATGGAATAAAAATAACGACAGCTAAAACATTCATTCTTAGTTTTTGTGTAGGAAATATGCGCGGACACAATTATGCATGTAAAGAAATCAGTCACATTGTCAGTTATTGCAAATGGTCATAGAAACTTTTTAAAAAGCTGGAAAAGTCTGGTGCTGATTCAGTGTCCCTGGAAAGCTAGAAATTATTCTTATAACCCAATTACGAGAAGTCATCCCTATTATTCAGTCAACTTACAAAACCTAGACTTAGCGTTTTAAGAAAAGTAAGCAATTTCTGGAGTGTAACAGATACTGTTCGTGTATTAGATCTACGTTGAAGATATATTCTAGCACTAAAATCGATTTGTACTTTTCATTGAGAAACTTCATGATAACTTTTATAAACTTTCGAGAAAATATGCGAATATTCATGATTATATTAGACACATAAAGTTGTATTTGGAGGAATTACTTCGTAGCGAATTGTGTGCCCGATGGATAAAATTGCAAAATTACAGCCTTCTATTATAAGCGCAGATACCATCTTTTCTGAGTATCTGTACTAATGTTATGTCGTTCATATTCCAAAAGTTCGACAGATTTTGACGATGCGTTTTTTTAATATTGATTTTGTTTCATTCACGCTAGTTCCAAAAAAATTACAATTTAGCATTGCCGACTCCAGCGCGTCTAACGAAATAACCAGACAAGTTACAACGTCCGTTCTTTTTTGAGTCTCAAGAGAAGAAATGCGTGCTTTGGGTGCACTAAATGAGAATTACCATAAATACAAGGATGAACCTTAAATTGTACGTTGAAAAGTACCAAAAATTAAGTCGACCCAGACAGAGCGGCGACAGGGAGCTGACCCCCGTGACCCCGACGTGATAAGGCGCCCGGCGGGGAACCCCCCGCGGCAACTAAAATCCACTGCCGGTGCACCGTGATCCATTTGCCTTGCTTTCAATGAAACAAATTAACCATCTATCTTGGATAATAGTCAAGATAGCTGCGATTGAAGAAGGTGAGGTCGACTGGTTTCAGTGGTGAAATTAGCGAAAAAAGAGCCGCCAAAGTTTGATAAATCCAGTAGGTAAAGAGTACTTGAAGACGGGAAAATTACATATTTTTTGTGTCTTTTAATCCATGTTTTTCAGTAAGCTTCGTAATGGAAATATGTTTTTATACGGACATGCAAAAAGCGAAAATTTGATAAAAATTGCTTAATTCGCCTAAAAATGCCTGTTTCATATCTTTTGTTATTTTGACGAGCGCCTGATTTCACCTCGCTGCTTCACATACGTTGCAAAGTTTTGTGGCTATGACTGGCGTCCTAGGTCTTCAGGGTCTTCACCATTGCAAATTTATTTTAAAGAAAATATTTTGGTTACTTATATAGTTTTTTTATTTAATAATAATAATAATAATAGATAGCATTTATGTAGCGCTAATCCCCGCTCAACAGCGAGCTCTATGCGCATCACAATCTATACTATTGCCCCAACAGACCTGATGAAAGCATTCTGAAACAGCCTCAACTTCCTGGGAAGCATACAGTGCAAGCAACCATTTATGCTTTATAGGCGCTAAAACACTAACTTACTGACAAGATCTTTCTCTGTCTATATTTCACTTTCTTATGAGTGTCCCTCCCTTCTTATCAGGACACAGCAGTTACACGTGTGTTTATTTCACCTGCTCTTACGTACACCATCCGAACACATCAGACATGAGTTTGATTCAAGAGTGGAGAGGATTTTATTTATTGTGTGTCTTCATCTGCTTGTGGGATGTTACCACCGCCCGGAGCAGTGCCACTGACTGTAGTGTCTTTAGGCCTTTCCCAAAGGGGGGACATTTCTCGTTCAAGCACAGTAGAATTGTAAATGGGCTGACTCGTGTCACGCTCATAACTGTGTCTGATCTACAACAGGGAACAGCTGCTCTTTCTTTCCTGATCCTTACTATTGTCATTTCCTTTACTTCTTTTGTAGGCTTGTCACTCTCTTGTAACCTGCTATTTCCGGGGTGCCTTGATAGTCGAAGCAGATCTTGTGCTGTTGAAGCTAGAGAGGAGAGCAGTCTAAGTCTGATTCCCTGAAAGGACTTCTCTGTTGACACCCTCCCCTTGGCGCTCCTATGACCTTATGCAGTTACGAGCGCCGTAGAACCCTGTACTGTAAAAAAAAAAAATATGGGATGTTACATTCCTCTTATTCCTTATTGCCACTTGGAACTCTATAAATGGACTTTTTTTATTATTATGATGATGATGATGGTGATGATGATGATGATGATGATGATGATTATATTATTATTATTATTATTATTATTATTATCATCATTATTATTGATAATGTTGTTGTTATTATTATTATTATTAATATATTATTATTATTATAACCATTTTTATAGACATTAGTATTATTATCATTGGTATTGCTGTAGATGTTTTCCCTTAACTTGAGTCCACTTACCCACACACACTGACGGAGAAAGGCTTTGCCCTGACAGCGGACTACAGTCTCCCTCCCACCTCCCAGCCTGCCAAGTTGGAGTTGGAAGGATCCAAAGAGAACTCTGCTTCCTCAGGCTTTTACGTGGATCTCAATGACAAAAGGTACGATATCTTGGTGTGTCGTTTCTTGTAAATCTTTTAATGCTGGGTAGTGGAAAAAGTAGAACAATTGTGGCGACAGAATTGTGGTTCATAAGACGCATGCTACCTATCCAATGGACAGCTAGAAAAGCAAATGAAAAAGTCTTGGTTGAAGCAAATTGCAGAAGACAGCTTATGACGAATATAAGAAAGCGACAGGCAAATTTCTTCGGACACACAATGCGGAAAGAAGCATTGGAGAATATTGTAACAACAGGCAAGTTTAATGGAAAGAGAGGCAGAGGCAGACAGAGAGAGAAGATACTGGACAAGCTGACAATCTGGCTAGGAGCAGCAAGAACAACAGACACCATTTCTCAACGCAAGACAGAGTGAAGTAGAGGTCCATGATCGCTCACGCCAGTCGGCAAGGCACCGGATGATGATGAGTGGAAAAAGTATTTGTCCACATTCTGGTACCAGTTGGAGGGAGAAGATGGGGCAGAATTACCTTGAGGTAGAAAGTAAACACAGGCTTGTCAACTGACCCAAATTTACCAGGACTGTCCCAGAATTTGCGTTTGTGGTTGGTTGGCGGGTGCTCTGGTGTGGTTTTGCTCATTCTTTCCGATCAAAAGCTATCATCCTTCTCTCTCCTCCTCCTTGACCTTGTGTATGTTACTCTCTTGTAACACTTTTTTATCTTCATCACTTATATGACCTTATTGTGTTGCAAGTGCCGTAAAATTCTTACTAATACTAAACTAAAGATTTTGCTTGTGGGAATTTGAGATCCTTAGCACATGTGCTGCACCAAAACCAATCACAATGATGTTATCTTGCTTCGCTGGTATGTAATCTGATGTCGCAATGTTGGGTTTTTCTGACCGCATTTTTAAAAAGTTGGCACGTCTGTAAGCTGTTTGTATCAGCCGTTATGTAGGGGGAAAAGCTGAAAGATGGTTCATAAGCAGAACGTCCAGTTCACTGAACAATCAAATTGTTTGGAAATTGGTTGTATTGTGTAGATGTTTAAGAGCAAATGCTTTGGGTTGCTTGTTTATTTATTTATTTTTATTTTATTTTTTTTTATTTTTTTGGGGGGGGGGTTATTGCATTAATTTTCTTTTTTTTAGGGGGTGGGGGGTATTTTTTCAGTTGGAGTGGTTAGATGAGGAGATAAAAGTTTTCAACAATTTTTAGATTAAAAAAAAAAGATTTATTATTGGAAGTTTCAAAAATTATTTACGTAGTTAGTTTTGTTTTTCTTTTCAGGTTCTTTGAGAGTTTTTCTCCCATCCTGCCTGGGTGCGGCTGCTACACATGTGCCAACTTCACCTGCTCCTACCTGCACCATCTGCTGAACACGTCCGAACTACTGGCCTACGTGCTCCTGACAATGTGAGGGAAAATGTTCTGTGGCACATTGTTACTGGAATGAATGAATGCTGTTATGAAATTTAAAAATATAGCAATAATGATAACCATATTAATGTTATAGTAATCATGTTAGGAATTATGATTAAAATACTGGTAGTGTACAATAATAAGAAAGATAATGATTATCCTGAACAATAATAAGAAAGATAATGATAATATCAATTTAATGATTTTGTGTTCTCCTCAGTCACAACTTTGAGCAGTACTTCAAGTTCTTCGCCCGGCTGCGAGAGACGGGTCGCCAGGACAAACTGTCGGAGCTGGAGCAGTCGTTGGCACGCCAGGAAGGAGGACAGCGGGAAGACGTGGTCAGATGACCTGTGACCTTGTCATGTATGGGGGGGGGGGGGGAAGGAGGTGTGTATGTGTTTGAGGGGGGGGGGAGGAGGGAGTGTGTGTGTGTGTGTGTGTTGAGATTCTTTGTGTTGTTTTAGGTGGTTTTATTTATTTATTTTGTTTTTGTTTCATAATCATCCAATGATTAGTCCTGTGTTTGCATGCATAGCTGTATAAGTGTGTGTGAAATTAAGTGTTTGTGTATGTGTGTGTTTGTGAACCAGGAAAAGAGAGAGATTGAGATGAGAGAAGGGGCAAGAAAAAAAAAGGAATAAAATCTGAGAACACAATCAGGCATTGTCTCTCATTCATTAAATTTTTTCGATTGTGCTCTTTAAATATTCTTATAACACTTATAACTCCTTTTTTTCTGTGTACTCCATTGTCCTTTTTTAGTTTTAGTAAAGCTTTTACGGCGCTCGCAGCTGCTTAAGGTCATATGAGCGCCAGAAGATTAAAGGTATTACAAGAGACTAACAAACATAAAAAAGGAGGAGGGGAGATAAGGACGATAGATGTTTCGTAGGAAAGAAGAAGCAAACCACACCAGAGCACCCGCCAGCCACCCACAGTTGTTCAGTACTACCTTGCATATTTAGAAAAACATTGACTGTGCCAAAGTCAGGAGTAAGGCGAACATTGGAACATTGGATTGTTGCGCTCTCTTACAGACTTCAACAAAAGTTAAGGAACACTCTCGCAGCTCAGACAGGTGAAAAGCAAAACATCTGAAATTTCAAAGATAGTTCATGGAATCATTTCTTAACCAAATCAATTCACTTTCAGAGCAAAAAAATTAAAAACATTCCTTGCTGTCTTTTTTCGGATTAAAAAAAAAAATTTGGGCTCTCTGTCAAGGTGGTCCTTAACTTTTGTTGAAGTCTGTATTTGCATAGGCCATAACCCACAGCACAGAGCGCAGTAATTTTTTTTTTTTAAATAAATTTTTAACACCTTGTCAACAAATCAATGTTTGGGACAATCAGCCTCTGCACACAGCATGTGGTGGTGCACAATCAAAACGGTTTCTTTCGTTTTTTGCACGAATCAAGCTGACACTTGTGACAGCCAATACACCAGTAGTAAAGTGAACGTCTTTCTCAAGTATGATTACCGAATAGCAACATTCGATGTGACTTCAAAGTTAATATGATCGCTTTGAAGCACAAGGGGGCTATCCTGAAAAATGCTGTTTTTAGAAAATGTAAGGTAAAGTTTTTGCCCCTCATTAAGTTTCTTTAAAAGACAAAGAAAGTTTTATCTATATATCCAAACAAATATACACACCACTGAAACCAAACTTCTCCTATGGGTAGGGCAATGTCCACTTTTGGTGTAGGTCAAGATTTCTTGAAACCCCCGAAATCTGGGTTAGCCCGCTTGTCCTTAAAAAAGCGACCATATAGGCGCTCATACGACCTCACGCAGTTGCAAGCACCGTAAAACCATACTAAAACGTACTACTAAAAATTAATATAGAAAATACTTATGATAGTCTCTGGTGCATGGTACCAAAGAAAAAAAAAAGCACGCTTGTCTCCCTTTGGCCTTGAAGGACAGTTGGGTAAGGGACATAACTGGTAGCGACTTTTCTTTCGTGCATGTAAATACTCGATTACTTCCCTTACAATTGTGATCGTGTCATCGTTTTCGTTTCTTTTGAGGCCTATCACGTAATGTTCTGTACAGTGTAAGTTGGCACCGAATGGTAAAGCTTTTGTTGTTTGTTTTAGTAGACGTTTTGCGGCGCTCGCAACTGCGTAAGGTCATATGAGTGCCAAGGGGTGGATGTCAACAGAGAAGTCCTTACACAGGAAATCAGACTTACTCTGCTCACCTCTCCAGCTTCAACGGCACAAAGTCTGCTTCGACTATCAAGGCACCCCAAAAATAGCGGCTCACAAGAGTGTACAAACACCCAAAAGAAGTAGAGGAAAAATGGTGATAATAAGGATGAAGAAAGAAAAAAAGCAGTGCTCAGTTCGCTCTGTTGCACTTCAGGCACAGTTATGAGCATGACATTGATGAATCAGCCCATTTACAATTACAGTTATACTGTACATAAGAACTCGAGATGTTAATGGCCTAAAGACACTTCAGTCAGTAGCACCACGATGGGGAATAATAGTGTTCTGTACAGTGGACGTTGGAACCGAATAGTAATGCAATATCATTTTAATGTTATGAATTAGAATAAGCGAACGAAATAAAAATGGATTTTAAAAAAGCAAGCAAATAAATAAACAAATATGTCATCACAGAAGGAGCAAATTTTCTTTTTAAATCAACAGAAAGGAGTATTGAATTTTGATTGGTGTAATTGCTCTTGAAAAAATAGGTTTTCCAAACAATGTTTTTAAAAAAAGCGACAGACAGACAGACGCCTTTGTCTCCCCGCGACACCCACCGGTACAAGCGGAGGAATAAAATAAAGTAAAGTAAAGTAAAAAAAAAAATGATATATTGTTTTTTTTAAAGTAGATGTAGGTTTGTGTTGTAGCGGTTTTAGGCATTTCACCCTTGCAACAGAAGGCATCAGTTTGATTCCCATGCGCAGAAAGAAGTACATCGACACAACAACCGTTACTGTGCGCAGTGAAAAAATAAGACAGACATATAGAAACAGTGAGGAAAAAAATAAGACAGACATTCAGAAACAGTGAGGAAAAAATAAGACAGACATACAGAAACAGTGAGGAAAAAAATAAGACAGACATTCAGAAACAGTGAGGAAAAAATAAGACAGACATTCAGAAACAGTGAGGAAAAAAATAAGACAGACATTCAGAAACAGTGAGG